TATGTATGTATGTGTATGTGTGTGTGTTTATGTATGTGTGTTGTGTATGTATGTGAATGTGAATATGAATGTGAATGTGTATGCATATATATAAATGTTTATGTGTGTTTATGTGATGTGTATGTGAATATATATATATGTATGTGTATGTGTATATGTGAATATGTATGAATGTGTGTTTATGTATGTGTGTAATGTATATGTATATGTGTATGTAAATTTTGTGTATGAATGTGTGTTTATGTATGTGTGTGTATATGTATATATGTGTATATGTAAATGTATGTATATGAATATATGTATGTATATGAATATATGTGTATGTATATATATATGTATATAAATTTATGTGTATATGTATAATTATGTGCATATATGTAATATATATGTATGTGTATGTAAATTTATGTGTGTATATATGTGTATGAATGTGTGTTTATGTATGTGTATATGTGTATGTATATATATGTCTATATGTAAATGTATATATGTATGTGTATATATATAAATTTATGTGTATATATGTAATGTATGCGTATATGTGTATGTGAATATACGTATATGTGTGTATATGTATAATATATTTTTTATATATTTTTTTTAAATTAAAAAAAATATTTACGACGGATTTTTCTGTCGCAAATCCGTAGTAAACGTAGATTTTATTTTTTTTTTAAAAAAATATTAAAAAATATATTTACGACAGATTTTTCTGTCGCAATTCTGTCGCAAAACTCGGATTTTGTCCGTCGCAACTTTGCGACAGATTAACGACCGGCAAACTTTTGCGACAACAATATACGGACAGAATTGATTCTGTCGCAATCTGTCGCAAATTTGTAATTGCGACAGATATTCTTTTGTATTTGCGACAGAATCTGTCGCAAATTTTAATGTTTCTTGTAGTGAAAAGAAGCTTTTGTCCCTTTAATTACCCTCGTATTCTTGTTTTATTATATTTACATTAATCATTCAATTGAAGAAAAACCTTAAGGATGCCACATTTAATTTCACCCGACGGCAGTCTTAACGATTAAGTACATGCTTAGTTACATGATTAATGATTTTACTGAATTAAATTAATAAAAAAATTAGAGGGAAAAATAATTTGGGGGGGGGGGGGGACGGTCAGACATGGACCGACGGTCAACACCAAACCATCAAATCATATTCACTACTCTAGGGATTTTCACTCGTTTTGCCGTATCTAATTAGGCCAATGTTCCTATCCATCGAAAACTCACTGTCTAAATTACCATGATATCCCACCCATGTTACGTCACCACTCAATCTGTACTTACACATTTATACACATGTACGATATATGTACGTACGATATGCATGTATGTATGTATGTATCTGTACATAGTTTTTTTTTAAGAACTCAAGAGCCACGGGTGATGAAAGTGATGAGGCTTTGGCATGTCCAAATCGGGGCCGAAAGGGCATATTAACAAGTGTATTTGGTTTACGACCTAAAGCATTTTCAATTAACAAAACTAGAAAAATTCAAAGGGACTTTGATACAACATTTAGAGAGAGTATGGGAGTATAATGATGGTGATTATTACTTTTTTACCCTCTTTTTTATATACTCTTTCCTTATTCACAAAGCTAATAATGATTTCCCTTCTTTCCATTTGCTCACCTTTAGATTATCAGCCCCACCTTAATTTTTTTTTGCGAGTTTAAATGTTTTCTACATATAGTAATAAAATGGCTAATCTTAATTAATTTTAACCAAACTCAAGACCAATTAATCATTTTTACCCTCCCTATTTTAAATACCTCAGCCGCCTGAACTGGCCTTCCATCTCTCTCTCTCTCTCTCTCTCTCCAAAAAAAATATCTATGAATACAGCAACAGCCATCAAACATTAAAGAATCTCTCTCTCTCTCTCTCTCTGAGCAAAACAAAGTGGTGTTAGTCTTCTTTAGGTTCAACGAAGTTCATAGTTTGAACCTTCCCCGCCGGAAAAATCCACCTCTTTTTCTCCATCCCCGTCGCCGAGACGAGAAAAGGAACAAACTTTACCAGAAAAAAAAACCCTAACTTTCCCGAGATTGATCTGGAAAAAGCACTTGAACCATGGGCAGTCTGGAAGAATCCTTGCGATCTCTATCGTTGGATTACCTGAACCTCCTAATCAACGGCCAAGCTTTCTCAGACGTCACCTTCAGCGTCGAGGGCCGTCTCGTCCACGCCCACAGATGCATCCTCGCCGCACGCAGCCTCTTCTTCCGCAAATTCTTCTGCGGGCCCGACCCGCCTCCCGGGACCGGGCTCGACCCGTCGGGCGTGACCCGGCCCGGACCGGCGAGCCCGGGAAGGCCCGCGGGAGTGATACCGGTGAACTCAGTGGGTTACGAGGTTTTCCTGCTGCTGCTGCAGTTTCTGTACAGTGGACAGGTGTCGATCGTGCCGCAGAAGCACGAGCCGAGGCCGAATTGCGGGGAGAGAGGGTGTTGGCACACGCATTGCACCTCTGCCGTCGATCTCGCCCTCGACACTCTCTCCGCCGCTCGTTACTTCGGCGTCGAACAGCTCGCCTTGCTCACTCAGGTTCTTACATATACATATGCGTGTGTGTATATATGTATATGTATATATTTATACCCTTTTGATATCTGTGTTTATCTCCATACACATCGAGTAAAGGTCTCACCTTTCCTCTTGTCCTGATTTGCTTCTTTTCTGTGCACTCATCTGTTTCCTCCGCCATCATCCTTATTTTTGTCCAATTTTGTTGTTTCCTAATCAGTGATATTCTTGATTTGAATGCAAATCTCATGTTTTGGGTTTCTAATCATTGTTTTCTTTCCCCAATGACGTATATCCTCGTCTATTGCAATTACAGACATTTCTCTTTGTTTGTCCTTACATGGGTTTGGTTCTTTCGGGTCGAACCCCTTATATACAGCCACTGGCTATATGTTCTTATATTAACTTCTCCTGATGGGTCATAACATATTGGTTCCTAACGGCGGTTTTCGTTTCTGGTGCGGTGTTCTTCGCTTGATTTCATGTGTAGATGAGCTTGAAAATTGTAAAATGTGTAGGTTTCGATCTGGATGTATATTGTCTTTTTAACGTGTTAGTTATGGCAGAAACAACTGGCAAGCATGGTGGAGAAGGCCTCCATTGAAGACGTGATGAAAGTGCTTATAGCTTCAAGAAAACAAGACATGCATCAGCTGTGGACCACTTGCTCTCACTTGGTCGCTAAATCCGGTCTGCCTCCAGAAGTCCTTGCCAAGCATCTTCCCGTCGACGTCGTGACCAAGATCGAGGAGCTTCGGCTCAAGTCCTCGATGGCTCGACGTTCCCAGATGGCTCACCACCACCAGCACCATCCCCACCACCACCACCATGACCTGTCCGTGGCTCAGGACCTCGAGGACCAGAAGATAAGGAGGATGAGACGGGCATTGGACTCCTCTGACGTGGAACTCGTGAAACTTATGGTAATGGGCGAAGGGCTCAATCTCGACGAGTCTTTGGCCCTCCATTACGCGGTGGAGAATTGTAGCCGGGAAGTGGTCAAGGCCTTGCTTGAGCTAGGGGCCGCCGACGTAAACTACCCGGCTGGACCGGCGGGGGAAAAGCCTCTTCACTTAGCGGCCGAGATGGTTTCCCCTGACATGGTGGCCGTCCTCCTCGACCACCACGCTGACCCTAATGTCCGGACAGTGGATGGAATCACACCTCTGGACATCCTAAGAACCCTAACCTCGGATTTCTTGTTCAAGGGGGCAGTTCCGGGGTTGGCGGGTAAAACGCCTCTTCACTTAGCGGCCGAGATGGTTTCCCCTGACATGGTGGCCGTCCTCCTCGACCACCACGCTGACCCTAATGTCCGGACAGTGGATGGAATCACACCTCTGGACATCCTAAGAACCCTAACCTCGGATTTCTTGTTCAAGGGGGCAGTTCCGGGGTTGACTCATATCGAGCCAAACAAGCTCAGGCTTTGCCTCGAATTGGTCCAGTCAGCCGCGTTAGTGATCTCACGGGAAGAAGGGAACAACAACAACAACAACAACGATACCAGCCACGCGATTTACCCGCCGATGAACGAGGAGCATACAAGCGGTGGCAGTCTTGGGAATTTGAACAATTTGGATTCAAGATTGGTTTATCTCAATCTTGGAGCTGGGAATTCGGGTCAGATGGGTTCGGGTCGGGATCACGGGGAAGACCACAGCAGCAGCCAGGGCAGGCATCATCATGATCCGTCAATGTACCATCATTCCCATGACCATCATCATCATCATCACTTCTAGGCCTTGAGCTCAACCATGACGATCATCAGATATCTTTTAACTGTAATGTTTCCTCGGTTTTAAAGCTGAAACCACTCTATTTTTGTATGTGGAGACGTGAACATATATGTGTAACATTCCAGTAGGGGGGAAGAACAAGGAAAAGGGCATTGAGGAGGAACAGAAAAGAAAAAAAAAAAGAGGTTTATTCCAACCAAATTTATTTATTTTTTATCATATTTAGAACTTGTTTTTAGAATACAGATTTGGCGTTGGTTGAACGGTCGAATACAAAGATTTTGTTAATATAATGATCTATCAAAATTTATATTACTTTTTTTCATATGAAAAAGTAGCAAGGTGAATTTCTGTAATATTTGTCTGGAAAATTCAAATAATAATAATCTAATATATATGTGATTCGGGTGCAGATAATGTTGACACAAATATTGAAAAATGAGAGAGAAACAAACAAGCCGATGTCTTTTTTAGAACATATGTGTACACACACACGCACACATATATGTGTATATATATGTTGTGTGTTTGACATGTCTCTATTCATGTTACATACTACGCATATACAGACATGCAGTGTACACTGAACTATGGATATGCCCACCTCTTCAATAAATGTGCTGATCGATTCATATACATGTATATATAAACATACATATACATACGTGCAAACAAAACAAATGAAGATTAGATAAATCCAAGATCGTTTGGCCACGTGGCAACATTATCCCTCCACGTGTACAAGAAATCCAAACAATGACAAGATTTTGTCCTCCCGGCAACCATCCATGATCCATGTGTTTATTAATTCTCCAAAAAGGTTATATATTGACTCATTAATTTTGTAAAAAACAAAAGGGTTTATATATATATATACAAACAGGGAAGTGTGTATATATATATGTGTGAGAATATTAAATGAATGTTGAGCAAGATCATGTCATGAATATGTGGGGCTTCATGGTGTCTTGGTTTTATTTTTATATGGTTGGTAATCCAACTATTATCTTTCATATGCGTTGGTTGGATAAACCTCCACCTATATATACGAGTTCGCGACACACATTTGGAAGGTAAAATCAAACGTAATTGACGGACGATAAGTGAAAGACACTGAGTCAAACCCTAACTTTTCGGTATGTTGATCATGTTATTTACCAACTCACCTGAGATTTCCTCCTATTACTCGTTTATACTTAGACAATCGATGTACGTATATACTCCCGCTCTTTGTATTTTTTTTTTAAAAAAAGCATAAACTCACGTATTTTATATATTAATTCCAATCTATTTATGTTCCTCTGTATAAAAAAAAGTACTGCATATATTTGTGTTTATATAAAGTATGGTGAGATTATTTTTATAAGAATTTCCACTTAAATTTTAAAAAAGAAATGCTAAAGATAACTAAATTAATTGATAGGAAACTTAAAATAGAAGGAAAAACAAAATGTGCATCTCTAATCAAAATATGTAACATCAAATCCATTGTCGTGTAAAACGCAATGAGAGCGGGACACTAATAAGGTTAACAAAAAAGAAAAAGGGAAGACAAGAAAAAAAGATACAAAAAAATAATAATAAAAGCCAAAATTCATGGATTCGTGTCAATGTAGAGCCAAATCAATTCGGATCGAGTGTCTTGATCAATTGAACAGCCACGTGACATTTGCACTTTGGTCCCTTATTATTTCCCCAAATTTAGAAAAACCCCTAAAGAATCAAGATATGTCAACTATCCGTACGTCTAGATCGAGATACGAGTCATATTCATGAGCTATGGGGAATTGAACACTCCCTAATCTTGAGTCATTCAACACCTAACTTATATGGCATAATGTATTTTGTTCTATCCATGTATAAATGTGCCATTCATATAGTTTTGAATAAAAAAATTAAGAAGTTTTTGATAATACAACTTTTACTTTTATGAAAAATGGTTCATGTTTTGTCAGATTATATCATATAATACGATCACTTTTGACTATGGAATTGTCCAAAAACTAATTTCCAAGAGCTTATATCATATACTATGTTAATATTATTATTATTTATACTACAAGAGAAAGAGAGACCCAAATGAAATGGGCCATGGATCGGACTAAACGTGTCAGGCCGAACAACCCAACCCGGTTTTATCGGATCGTGCTCCTTTTTCACGTTCCGAAATCAAAATTATCAAACATCACAATCTTGACCCACAATTTCTTTACTTCTCCCGTTCTGACCCCACTTCTTCTATCCTTATCATTCTTTTACCTTTGCGTGATCTATCTCTCGGTTCTACAATGTTTGCAGAATGATGTCACGAGATCGCAAAACATGCGTTCTCTAAGGGCGGGTTTCTCGGAATGTTCCAAGAACCTGTAAGACAATCAGAGTTCCAGCCAATGTCGAATCTTAATTCACTAACGTAACAACGGTCTTAACTGTACATGGATGATGTTGTCTGAAGGGAAGAAGATACAGTAAGAAACAGAGAAAAAGAACAGTACCTGAGCGAGAATGACATTACTTTTCTTCAAGAACCTGTCATGTGGGAAGGTTGGATGGATCATGGATTGTCCGAAAAATCCATACTTAGACATTCAAGAATTAAAATGCGTCCTCTAAAAAGATATTATGGTAGACAGCTGAGAGCGGTCACAACCACCTGTGCAAGCGAAATCGGCATCTGGGTCTCGAGAAAGCAAGTAGGTTATGACCGAGAAAGTATCCAAGATCACGTCTTTACTCGACCTCGGGGTGCTTTCTTGGTCTTACGTATTCAATGCTACAGTGGGTCTAACACATACGGGATTTTTCATACGCACACAGACATACACAAAGACGCATATATCGATGTGATGTAATGGAACCAAAAGGATATGATTTGATACAAATTGTAGTGTGGTGGAATTGGGACCACATATTCACATTTGATATGCTAACAATTGTTACAACTTTTGTCGAAACAAGCCCTCTCAATTTCACGTCATATAACAGGTTGAGATATGATAAAGAACCGAGACAGAGTTAAAAAAAAAAAAAAAAAGATGAGCAATCACATTCTTTTTAATTATAAAAAAAGGGGTTTCTTTGGGGAATTTCATCAAACATCTTGCACGCAAGATCAATCAACCCATTCCTAAAAGATTCTAACATCATCGGATTTGATGAGATCCAACAAAGGTTTGGTCGAACATGAAATACTTTTCGAAGAATTGGAGGAAAAAAAAACTTTGGAAGCGATTAGAAAAAAGAGAGAACCTGTCAGATCGCCGGGCGACCACCCCAGCCAGGATGAACCCGAACTGAGTAACGATCCTCTACAGCCAAGCGAGAGCTCCCGAAGGAGAAATCAGAGCCGTTAATCACGCTCCGATCGCACGGCCACAGATCATCAACCAGGTTTGAGGGCCTGTCTCCTTAGAACTCAAGGATACAGAAGTACGAGCCTATAGAACAGATCCTGTTCAAGTAAGGTCGTGACCAGAGGTGGCCCATATCGTCTTTATATAAGAAACAATATTTAGTAAAACGACCGATGTGGGATATACATTCTTTGTTTCCCTTTTGTTTTTTGGCAAAACATAAAAGTCAAACTTATTAATAATTTCGTTATATAAACGTATTCACACATTACATTAAACGTTCTTCCATTTTGAGATTTATTATGAATATTTGAGATTAAATATGGATTATGTTACAATTATATTGATAAAAAATTTGAACTGCAAAGTCTGCAATCGTCCCTTTTTTTTAAAAAAAAACTTTCGGTGCATCTATGCACCGCCATGTGCCACGTATAGAGGAAGACTTTTAACACAATAAACACGTACAGAAAAAAACGTTCGATCCAGTTCCAGCTTCTGTGGAATAGTATCCATGGGCCGTAATTAATACCATGTGTCTACCATCTTATCCGTTTTGTCTTTTTCCGTCTCGAACGGCCAATCCCCACCAATATTACAAATTACAATACACGCACACACAGATTCGTGTGATATTATTGAATTATGTTCCACGTTTCAATTCTACCTTCAATGTTTAGGCATATATACATATATAGATATCGAATTATGCAGCGCAATTGTTACAAATGTGGAAATATAGATATATCATTATTAACCCAAAGAATAAGAAATATTCTCTACGAAGAAAATGTTGTTGCACAAAAAATAAAATTGTGAATTAGATGTTGTGATATCAGCCGATTTCTGCAACTAATCACAACCGTAAAAATAGAAATTACGATTATTTTTTTTTGTCAAAAAAGAAAAAGAAGAGCAAAGAGATGTGATGTCGCAATCATCGTTGGAGCTCCATCATGCGAGAGAAGTCCTCGAAGCAAACAAACCCATCGCCGTTCACGTCCACCGTCGCTATCATGCGCAGGCATTCCTCTAACGTGCACCGATCATCTCCGATGACGCCGAACACCCGGAGCAGCTCCTCCGCCGATATCCTCCCGTCGCGATCCGCGTCGAAAAACTCGAACACCTCCCTCAGCTCCTCCGCCTCCACCGATCCCGCCGCCGAGGTCCCCGCCACGTGGCTCC